AAGCCAGCCACAGTTGAGCAGGACCTTTGATTTATCTTCACATAGATGGAACTGGTAAAAGAAAGGAGCCAAGGGCTCCTTCCAAGGCCATGTGACCCCTGAGGAACAAATCCTGATTAAAATACATTTTATGAAATTCTCAAATTAAAAACCCAGATATTTAAAGAAAAATTACATGGACCAGGCATGGTGACTCACACCTTTAATCCCAGCACTCAGTAGGCAGATCTCTGAGATCAAGGTCAGCCTGGTCTACATAGTGAGTTCCAGATCAGCTGGGACTACAGGGAGACCCTATCTCAAAAAAAGTAAAGAAAAGAATAAGAGAAATTACATGGTATTCCATGACTGAGGAAAATAATTTGTGTTAGTCACGGTGTACAGATTAAGGGACTCTGGGCCTCTTAAACCTCATTTATTTGTAGTTACTTCTGACTACACTAGAGTACTAGGAGCATAAGAACTTTGAAACAAATATTCCTAAATTCTTATCAAAGTTTGGAGGGAAAAGGATCAAACTCTACCAGGTAAATAGGTTTTTCTTCAGATTACCTGTAATATACTTTATAACTTGTATCACACATACTTAATAGCAATTTCAGAGATCTTACAAGAATCAGATTGTTAATTCACTGAAAGTACTTACATTTGAGCATCCAGATGCCATTGTATAGACAGGCCCTGATTTATAGTATCATTTATTGATGCTTTAAAATACTTGACCTTAAGCTGGGTGTGGTGGCGCACTCCCAGCACTATGTGCCAGCCTGGTCTACATAGTGAGTTCCAGGCCAGCTGGGGCTACAGGGAGATTCTGTCTCAAAAATAAAATAATAAAATAAAATAAAACGACCTTAACTCACTAATAGTTTGGTCCCCATAATTAGTACTGAATGCTTTCGAAGAAAATATTATGTAATTATAAAGTATTGTCATTAGCTGTTCAAAAAATTAAACTCACTACATCCATTAAGAAAAAGTCAAGATTTGATCTGTTTTCATTATATGTGAAGTTTATAAAGAATCTCAATATAAATAGAAAATAACTGCCAACATTAGCAATCTAAACGAATTATGTTTCATATTGTAAGAATGTAATTTTGTAATGAGTCCTTCACTTGTAGTTTGTATTGTCTAAGTTATATATGTTTATATATGTCCAATAATATCTTTTGACATTGGGATTAATATATGAGCTTGTAGGAATCCTTTGACTACCGTTTAGATCTTATCATCTTAGAAAGTAGCCAAACTTTTGCCAGGACTGGTGGCACACCCCTACAATCTCAGCACTCAGCAAGACTGCACAGGTGGATTGTGAGATCTAGGCCAGCCTGGACTACATAGCAAGATCCTAGCTCAAAAAAAGTAAGAAAATTTTATGTAATACTCACATTTTTAAAACATATCTTAATAGAAAATTAGAGTCAAGATGGCTCGGCTGGTAAAGGCATTTGCTGTGCAAGCATGACAAATTAAATTTGAGCTCCAGAATCCACAGTGAAAGAGAGAACTGATTCCTGAAAGTTGTCCTTTGACCTCCACATGCACACTGTGGCACACACATTCCCTCATTTATACACACATACCCCATACACACACAATAATATAAAGAGAGAAAATTAAAGATCCAACCACAATAGAACTTAAGTTTACTGAGCATAGTACATAGAACCTGACTAACCCGAGGCTAACATAGTTCAGCTTTAGACGCAATAGCCCAGAAATATACTTTAGGACTCACTGTCTTACCTTAGCCACAAATGGACTTTTCAGCAAAGAAGAGTCTCTCTAGACATATTTTTAAAATCAGTGTTCTACAGGCTCAGAAGATAGTTTTGTCATTAACCTCTCTTCTAAAAAACATACTTATTATATGAAAATGTTAAGTGGTTTTTCATTAAAAAAATGAAAATGCTATGAATGATCAGGCATAGTGAGCACATTCTGAGATGTCCCAGATAACAAGTGGCATCTGAAGTTGGAAACCATAACCTAACTCTTCACTTCATATCCCACACATTATTTTGGTAGAGATTTACATTAATTTATAGCAAATCTGAATAAGCCTAAATTAGCTTTTATTCAAATAACAGTATAAGAGGACTTATGGCACATACCTCAGTGCCACATCTTATCATAAGTATCTCTTTCTCCAAGGACTGTAGGAGAAAGACAGAACACACAAGAAGCAATGTATACTTCCTGACATTCTTATGATAATAAGATGAGATAATGCACATTCATTCATCTGTTGTGGAAATACTTATTGACTACCAACTGTGAGTCAGCTGCTTTCTAGACCAGAATAATAGAGCAATATATTTGGTAAAGGAGAGGTTGAAAAAGTTTAATAAAAGATTGTTTCCAAGATATGGACGGGGTTGAAGGGTACCACAAAAGACTGTAAAGCACTACAGTGACATTCCATTACCACCTCTAGGTCTAAAGGAGAAAAGGGAGACAATGGGATCTAAATGTCTGGAGGGTCATAACTATGGGGCAGTACCCAAAAGGAGCTGTGACCCTCTGTGAGTGAAGATGCTCTAACTACCACCAAATGGCAACAGAACAAGAGCAAAGGAAATGAAAACCCTCCTTCTCTCTCCCTCCTACTTTCTAATTTCTTGTGGGCCACTTCCCATAGCTAAACTTTAACTAGAGGCCAAAGTGATGGGAAACCAGTTAAAATAATCCATGGAGGTCAGCCTTTGTGACCAGACTGGATGTTATAAGATGATGGTGTGATCTGAAGAGGCAAAAAAGTAAATAAATTTCTGCCTTTGTAGAACTCACGTTCTAGAATAGATAATTCATTTAATATTATATCTAGTATAGACTGTGCATTCAATAATTATTAGTTATTTCATAGTCATTTTGTATCAGTAAGATTATGGAACAATTTTTTAACTTTAAATATGTGTGTGTGTGTGTGTGTGTGTGTGTGTGTGTGTCCATGGAGGCCAGAAGGGGATGTCAGATCCCCTGGAGCTGGAGTTATAAACAGTGGTGAGCCACTGGGGTGCTGAAAATCAAACTGCAAGAGCAGTACATGCTCTTAACTATTGAACCATCTTTCTAGTCCCAAGATACACCTTGAATTCAAGTTCTTGGCTTTGGTTGATTGTTTTAGATTGTTGCTGGCTATTACCCCACTCACACATACACACACACACACACACACACACACACACACACACACGCATCCTTTTCCAACATCATGGCATTTTTAGCTACATATAGGACTTCTTAGAAGGAGAGCTTATTTGCTGGTCTCTCTTGCAGACAGATGTAGCAATGTGATTAAATTATGAGTTGTGAATGTAAATGGTGTTCACAACTTCTGGGTCATGCTTTTACAAGAAATGAGTAGTAGTCACCTTCCTGATGACTGATATGTGATACATGCAGTGCTAAGCTATTTTGGATAACAGTCCAGGGATGGTGGAGTAAGAAGACAGAGAGAGGCCAACCTCACTTTATGCTGCTGTATTAGTATGTCCTTGCTATGTAATAAGCAGAAGTCCCAGTGCCATACTACCATTTAACATGATGGCTTTTTAAAACTTAAAGTCTTATTTTTACTTCTTTATTTCCAGTAGTTCATTTTCCATTAACCATTGCCTAAGATTTATGAATTATGATTATGTATGTGTTAAAAAGCACATGACACTAAATGTGCCATTTAAACATTTTTAAGTATACAGTTCAGGAGTAGTCAGTATATTCACATTGTAATGACTTAATGTTTTAAATACAAAGTTAGACACCTTTGAAAATTTATCTTTTACATGGGAATTAGTATTGTTCCAAGATTTATTTTAGGGAGAATTTGAGGCATTCTTTTTTCCAACTCTGACCTAAACCATGGCCCCTGGCAAGTGATTCTCTTGAAGCCTGATCAAACCTATTACATGAATCATGCAGACATGTTTCTTTTCATTTAGAAGACGTTCCAAGGCAAGTCCTATCTCATACACCATCTATACAAGAGATAAGCTAATAGGACCACCGCAGTGTTCCTCTGACCTCCACATACCACAGTGCATGGAAATACACAAAATAAATACATTTAATTTTTTTAATATTTTTAATTTAAATTTTTATTGAGCTTTTGTAATTTCATACAACAATTCTTAATCAAATTTAGGCCCCCTCCCCCATCCATACTTTCCCCACCCCTCCACCAGACCTCATGTATTCCGCCATCCATGTTAAGTACTATCCAGTCAAACATTTATACCCAGATGTCCTTCAGTGTAAATTTGTCCACTGGAGTCTAGTCAGCCTGTCTAGAGATCATATGTAAGGCGTAATCACCCTCACCCAACAGCAAATCACACTTGTTTAACTGAGTTGGCATGGGTCCTGTTAAAAAGATTTTTAAGGAACCTAGAAATAAAAATTTCATTTTGAATTTCAAAACAAATGTTTAATCTAAATCATTACAAACACTAAAACATTTTTGAATCATTTAAGTCTACATCTTAATAAGGGAGATAAGTGAGCTGTTAAGTTTTAGGAAGATTTTCAAGGGCAATAATAATTTCTGTCTCATCTTCATTTAATTTAAAAGTTTGGTTAATAAAGTAATACACTTGTCAAACATCAGAACTTCAGTAAATTAACAAAATAATGGGTTTTTGTATCTGTCATTCACAATATCCTATGACCTAGAATTTTTCTAACATTCTCAAATCACTTTACATTGAGAAAATTCACGTTCTTTGAATGAGAAGCAATAGTGGCAAATGAAGGTGGCAGTTCTTCCAAACAGGACACCAAGAAAGTCCCTTAACGTACAAAGAAAGTCAACTTAAATCAAGTTGCAGACTCTTTGGCATGAACGTACCTGTTTGTGGGTAGCTTCTATTGCACTGGCTCCAAATGAGTAAGACTGTAAGACTTTCACTGTTTGTTTCTAAAAAATGGTATATCCCCTGCAGATTTTTCTTTACAGTAGCAAAGTAACCAACTATCTTTCATGTTTGTACTTCCAGCCAACTCAGACAGTAATGCCAGGACAAGTGATGCGGGTTACAACAGGTGCTCCAATCCCCTGCGGTGCTGATGCAGTAGTGCAAGTGGAAGATACTGAACTTATCAGGGAATCAGATGATGTATGTCACCACCAGGTCCTTGGCAATATTGGAAGTCCTACTCAGTTTCTGTAATGTTTATAAGATTTAGGTTGAGGTGTTATTAGTTTGGTTTATTGGGATCTTAACATTGTATTATGTAAGTCTCCAGTTAAAAAATTAAGATTGAAAATCTTTTGACATAGAAAGGACTTTTATGCTGGTGTTATAGTAGAATTTGAGCTGTTTTTAGTGTGAGAAATTTCACATGCAAACAAATTTCTTCACAATAGGACAGTAATTTAAAGTTGACATGTCTTCTAGCTGAGAAAATTGTCATTGAGAATAGCTTAATAGAAAAGAGACATTAGCAAAGAACATTTGGACAAGTTCTTGATTATTACAGTAAGCCAAGCATTTGAATAAATGACCTTTTTGCCTCTGGTTTTTTGTTCAGAGAAAAGGTGTACTATCAAATGACAGCCTGGAAATGCTGCATTTATGTCAGCTGCCTCTGCATCGTCTCACAAAAAAGACACTAAGACTTTGGGGAGGTCTGTGTAGGCCATTTTCTCAATGAAACTAATAGCAATTATCAAAATCAGTCTGTTAGCCACAAATAAAACTAAGAAAGTTACTACTGAGAAGTTTTGTTGACTGGCAGTCATACTTGTTTTGTGAAGTTTAAGGAACCTTATATTTTGACACAGAGCTTTAAGTACTATATGTTCTTGAAGACAAAGTAGATAAAATCTGACCATGTTAAGAGATGACCAACTCCCTTGGTCTGGAGATTTTCTTTTTAATTACCTTCCCTCATACAGAGTTTATAAAATCCAACTCCTGGCTTACAGATTACATTTCCTGCTCAAAAAATGTACAAACAGAAATTTATTGGTATCAGGTAAGTCAGTAGAGCATTGAAATCCAGAACACGTGCATCCTTAGACTTCCAAATGACAGGACAAAATATACACAGACCATAAATGCAAAATTGATGATTACTGTAAGTTTACAGTACTACTGCTGCACCATAAGTCCTTCACTGAAATTTCTACATGTATTTGGGAATCTTAACGTGATATTGTGATTCATGGCAACAGAAAGATAGGCTGCTTGTATGTACCTTCATTTTATCTATTAAGATAGGTTTATTATATATGTATGTATGTATGTATATATGTATGTTATGTATGTGTATATATGTGTATATTATATATGTGTGTGTATATATAATATTTGAGAATGAAATATACAATATAATATTCAATAGTTGAACTCATATATTTTAAAACCATGAAAATTAGAGAGAATATGTAGTTACTTGTTGGCAACAAATCTCCTAAGTTTTCAGGTGCACTCTTTAAAAATTCATAGTATTTTTAAAATATTTTATTTTTTATTCCATATGTATGAATGTGTTGCATGCATACTTACCTGTGTATAAGTGCACCCATATTGTACAATGTCCACAGAGGTAGAAGAGACTTTAGAATCCCCTGGAACTGGAGTTACAGACGGTTTTTAACTACCATGTGGGTGCTGGGAATCGAACCCAGGTCCTCTGATCTTAACCACTGAGCAATCTCTCCAGCCCCAGAAATTCACAGTATTTTTGAAGAGTTAGCAAATGGTTTTCTGTTTCTGTGTATTTATAGACATCTTGGGCCCTATCTGATGGTATAGAAGTATCTGAGAAGCTCATTTCTCTAGATCAGAAATGCTATTAGATTGTATTATTTGAAATGTTATGACCTGCTCTAATTATAGGGTACTGAAGAACTTGAAGTGCGAATTCTGGTGCAGGCTCGACCAGGCCAAGATATCAGGTAAGTTCAGAACATGTAGAATTTATAGCCTACTTGAGTTTCTACATGATGACAAACTCAGGAGAGCATAACTATTACAGATCCATAGCTGTGTCAGTTAGCCATTTGTCCTCAAGCTTTAACAAAAAGAAAAGTGAGTTTTCTGAATTTTATATCCCATGTCTGCCTTGCCTTTTAAGGAAAAATGGTTAAGATTGGTGAAACTATCAAAATCAACATGAGAAGAAAGTAAAGTCATAGGCCCACATACCCACAGTTAATTCTACCTCTAGTATTCCAGAATTACCCACTCCCAACTTCTAGACTCCCCAGAAATTTGTATTAACACAGATGACCCCAAAATCAGGCATTTGTATAATTAGCTGATAGCACACCCTCCACAACTACCCTTAATAATGGGATAATTTGTTGTTCCTCACATACAAAGATGAGAATTCTCTCCTATAATAAATAGCATATATACTTTGAATTCTTGTTATAATGGAACTTCTTTACCTAGATTCCATGAATACTAACTTGTCCAACATCCCTTTGTAACAAAGTGATGCTTCTCCCATCTTTATAGCAGCAGTCTAAGTAGTCTAAGTAGAAATCACCTCTATAACTGTAACCTCATTATCATTACCTCCTTACCACAAAGCAAATTAATTATGGACCTCTGTTAATGCCACTAGATTTTCGTACAAACTGTTACCTTCTATCAGGGAAAGTTTGAAATTGCTAATTTTAACTGTAATAATAGAAAACATAAAGTAGCTTTCAAATGTGAAGTAACATATCTTGAGTGTCTTCCATAATATGATATAACTTTTTTATATTTTATTTATTATTTTTATTTTATGTGTATGAGCGTATTGCCTGCATGTATGTGAGTGCACCCATGTAGAGCAATGCCACGGAGGTCAGAAGAGGACTTCAGCTTCCCCTGGAACTGGAGTTAGGGACCGTTCATAGCCACCTTGTGGGTGCTGAGCTGGAACTCGAACCCAGTCAGTGCTCTTAACTGCTGAGCCATCTCTCCAACCCCCCCATAGAATGATATAACTTTTTGTGTGTGTGTCTCTTTTTTTTTTTTTTTTTTTTTTTTTTCTCTCAGAGTCTCCTTGTAGCCCCAGCTGTTCTGGAACTCACTATGTAGAACAGGCTGGCCTCGAACTCACAAAGATCCACCTGCCTCTGTCTCCCAAGTGCTGGGGTGATATAACTTTTAAAATTACAAAAACTTTGAGTTTTTAGAATCTCTTCATGATTTTGCTCCTGCCTCGTCTTTGACTTTTTTTCTGTCCTGGATTGTCTCCTTTCTCTGATCCTAAAGTTTTCCTCTGAGGTGAGAAAATGTTATTCTTAGTCATAGTGCTTACAGTTCTGCTTTGACTTTCAGACCCATCGGCCATGACATTAAAAGAGGGGAGTGTGTTTTGGCCAAAGGAACTCACATGGGCCCCTCAGAGATTGGTCTCCTGGCAACTGTAGGTGTCACAGAGGTTGAAGTTAATAAGTTTCCAGTGGTTGCCGTCATGTCAACAGGGAATGAGGTAAATAAATAAACAGACAAAATAAAGGGAAGAAGGGATGCTCTTACAAGATAAAATCATTTCTGTCATCTATTCTGGGTCATAAATGGGTCATTGTAGAATATGGTTCTTAACAATGGGACCAAATTTCCCCAACAAAAAAATAGTAAGTTGGCCTTGACATAGTTCAAGTACAGAAGGTAAGGAAAAACTAGAAACCACGAATTAAGAAATGGTCCCTTGCCTTTTTTGGAATCAAATATTACAACCAATGGCCTTTCTACCTACTCATTACACATAAACAGAGAATGTTAGCTACAAGTTGTAGGTACCAAACTGTGCAAACATAGTTATTTAGTCTATTAAGACAATGATTTGTGCATCTGTTGCTGAAATGATACACCACCCACTATGAGAAATGAGTGAAATAGATATCATGGCTAGCTGTCTTCTTGTTAAAGTTTCCTGTGCTTTTGAACCACCAGAGGGGTTTGAGATCCCTTTCTGGTTTTGTTGGGTTGGGTTGGCTTGGGTTGGTTGGTTTGTGTCTCAACTGATAGCATCCCTTGTGGCATGCTATTCAAAATGGATCTAAGTATCATTTCAGGCCTGGTTTAGAAAACAGACTTTCATCAGTCTCTTTTTCTGAGAATACTTGAAAAACTTCCTGACGCTGTTTTGTCTAGGTTGTATAAAATATCTAGGATCTCTATAGTTATATTAGAATATGAAAACATATATCTACTAGAAATTTAATTGAGGAATCAGAAACTACTGAGATATTTTTAAAGTTTTTAAACTATGCTATTAAAGAGTAACAGGATGTTTTTTCTGAAAGTAGCCCTTCATTAGCGTGAGTTTTAATTTCTTGAAATCCTTTAGGTTGTCTCTATGATCCTTATAACTCTTTTAGCTAGAGCAAAAGAAAAGAATAGGAGCTTTGGTTTTTGTACTGGAGAGATAACTAGTCACCCCCTAAAAACTATTGATTGACCTAAAACAAACATTCTTTTCATTTTGATCAAATAGTGATGATTTTAATGCCCCTGTAACTAACTGGCATTTTTAGCATCAGAAAAAAAATTACTACTAAATTTTAATAATCTCCAGATTGCTTCTTCCCCTACTCCTATTCAAAAGTAGCTGGTTTTATGACTATATTGTTCAACAAAGAGGTATCACTATGCCAGGCATTATACTGGAAATTGGTGATAAAATAGATAAAGTGTAGTATCTCTCCTGAAGATTTGAGATCATCAGATATTCAAAAAAAACTAACCAAAAAAATTAACTTCCATTAATTTATTTTCAGAGATACAAAAACATATTGCACTTACCTATTAATGAGATGTGGCTGTCATTTACCCAGGCTCCCATTACATGCTGGTTCTGATTTTCATTGAGATGTATGGCTGACATGCATTTCATTGAGATGTATGGCTGATGTCTACTTCTCTTTCTCTTAATTTTTTAAGTTAGCATACAAAGTGATGAGTTTCATTATGGCATTTTTATAATATGTCATTATGCATTTGTTCAAAAAATATATATTATCTCAAATTTTAGAATGCTTACTAAAAGGTTCTCTTTGGGCTAAAAAATATAGCTAAGTGGTAGAGCACTTGCCTTGCATGTATGAGGCCCTGGATTTGATCAGCAGCACTGGAAAAAATAATAAAACTGACAAGTTATGAGCAGTCAGGCCAGATAAGGTGATACATCCCTATGATCCCAGCACTTGGGAGGCAGAGGCAGAACTGCCACGAGTTTGAGGCAAGCCTGGTCTATGATGTATGTTCTAGGCTAGCCAGGGCTGCATAGAAAGAATCTCTCATTTTTATTACTTTTATTTATTTTTTATGTGTATGAGTGTATTGCCTGCATGTTTGTAAGTGTACCCATGTGGTACAATGCCCATGGAGGTCAGAAGAGGGTGTCAGATCTCCTGGAACTGAAGTTACAGACAGTTGTTAGCTACCATGTGGGTGCCCAGAATCAAACCTGAGTCTTCTGCAAGAGCAGCCAGTGCTCTTACCCACTGAACCAAATCTACAGACCCAGCAAGAACCTCTCTTAAAAAAAAAAAAAAAAAAAAAAAAAAAAAAAAAAGCCTTGAACCATTTTCTTAGAAAGATTGAACCAGAAACTTGGCAACGTCAGGCTGTCTTCTCAGTCCAACCAGTGCCCTTAGCAATCTATATACCACTCCATAACTACACTGTTTATTCTGCAACTGACAGCTCAAGTATAAGAGTATAGGACTCATACTAGGAGAGTGTGCGAGCCACCCTGACCTAGAAGCCTTGTGTCCTACATAGGAATCAATATATCTTATAATGATCTTGGGCAGCTTTCAAGATGCTCATAAAGTAAATATTCAGTACAAGTGTTACCACATGGGAGCCCAAAATTATGACTTCCTGCTAGGTACTAATAGTACCTTCCCATCCATGTGCATGATAGTAGATACCACTTTTTTCTGTGAAGAAAAAAATAATGTTGCCTAAACAGCAGGAATAAGACCAGTCTGAACTACATACAGAGTATGAGACCAGCCTGGGCAACATGAAACCTGTCTCAAAAACAAACAACAACAAAATAAATAATGTTGCCTACTAACAAGCTGACATTTTCATCTTTATCAGATACCCATAGGAAAAGAACTAGAGAATGCACTGTCTAGAAAATTTGAAAGCAATAATAAAACTGACTGTCAGTTTGCTTTTTATTATCACCACACACTGGCAATTTTAAACAGTGCCAGTGATGAACCACTCTTTTCCAGTGGGGAATATGTTCAGCATACAATATATACTTGTAAGAAATATTAAAAACTAAAAAGTATTCCTCTCTGCTGGGGTAGACCCTTCCTAACCCCCCACTCCACTTAGTATGCTACTTAGTTGGCAGTGTTCTGATACTGCAGATCAGCAACAAGCAAGAGAGATAAATTCCCTGTTCATATACAGTTTATAGTCTAACTGAGAAGCAGTCACTAAGCAAGTAGTGATTATGGTATAAACAGAAATAGAGAGGTAAAATGACAAAGAACAGCAGTAGAGGAGACACATGCCAAATGCTATCTTTTAGAACTTATCCAACACCAGCCCTATCCCCATATTGCAGTTAGAATAAAAACTTGGTATTGCAAGCTCTCTTGTCAGCTCTTATCTATATAGGGTTTTTTATTTTTTTTATGGAAAGTCTCATGTAGCTCAGGCTGGCCTAATTTACAGCCCACCTGCCTCACTCTCCTGAGTGCTGGGGTTTCATGCATGTGCCACACTATACCTCTGGTTAGGTTTTGCCATTTGATTGTGCCCACATGGTGTTAGAAGGTAGAAGAAAGCACATGCATTAGCAGAAGTATAAGCCCAACTCTTAAGTTTCATCACTCCCCCAACAGCCTTTGAGATGATGGCAGCTTCATCATCTCAAAGTGATGATAGTCATTGGTCTTCAGTAATGCAATTTTCTCCTTTGTTCCAACAACTTTTGCAGCACATTTATAACTAATTCCTTATATTTAAATTTATCTTCTCCAACCTTCTTACTGAAAACCTAGACGAGTTCTTACTTCCCTGTCTGGACCTGATTTATAGTCTCCTGTTACGGATAGGATAGGGTAATTAGGGCTTAATGCTAAAGTTTGGTATTGTGACTACAAACCATGTGAGGAAGGTTTATTCTACACAAATGGAAAATCCCTGCAAAAGGGTATACATATTTATCATGTCTGGGGACTAGAAAGGGTCATATGGTGGACAAGTAAGTAAGAAAAGATGAGGTTGGAGAAGTAATAGAACTTTCATTTTTATTCTCAATGGCTAGTTTGGGAGAATGGAAACAACATGGAACATAGGAGAACATAATATCTCTTAAATTGTTAAAAGTACTCTGACTTCTATATGGCATAGCATGTAGGAGGACTAGGAGAAAAGCTAGGAAGACTAGAAAACTATGAGATACCCTGATGAGAGATTTGCAGCAAAGTGGCACCAGTGAGATGGCACCATACCATCCACCAGATCCACCATATATTTTGAAGGTAAAACTTCTTGCTAGGTAATTAAAGTAGACTGAGAAAAATGTGGGGAGTCAAGTGCCAAAGTTTTGGCCTAAGCAAGTCTAAGGATAATTGTTTACCCAAGTAAGAATATTTATGATGATAAACATTATTAAAATTTCTAAGGTTGGGGCCTGGAGAGATGACTCAGCAGTTAAGAGCATGAGCTGCTCTTGTTGGGCTGCTCTTGTAGAGGACCCAGGTTCAGTTCCCAGCACCCACATGGCAACTACCAACCATCAGTAACTCCAGTTCCAGGGATCCACCCTTCATGGGCATTACATGACACAGGTACACTTACATCCATGCATGTACATTCATACACATAAAAATTTTTTTAATTCCTAAGGTCAAAATTGAAAGCACTGATATAAAACTAAAATCCAGTCCTTTGTTTAATTAAAATAATAAAATTCTCCTAAGGTGGAAAAATTGTATTTATTTTTATTATTTTTGAGTTTCTATGTCCACAAGAAACTTCTGTGATGAGGTCTGAGAGCTGAACTGATCTGTGGGTAGAGAGATATAATTTAGAGGGCAGTTTGATTCTGTGTCCATTTAGCAGAAGCCGGGCGTGGTGGCACATGCCTGTAGTCCCAGAACTCGGGAGGCAGAGGCAGATGGATCTCTGTGAGTTCAAGGCCAGCCTGGTCTACATGGTGAGTTCCAGGACAGCTGGGGCTACAGGGAGACCCTGCTTCAAAAAGAAAAAAGAAAAAAAAATCTCCATTTCATTTTAGAATATATTGTTCCTTGAAGAAAGACTCATTGTTTTTGCTACTAACACGGAGATATTGGTGCATGCATCTGTAATCTCTATGTATCCGATTATTACTAGTCATAATCGGTTGCATTTGGATCCTTGGCACCTGTGTATGTCTATAAAGTCATCAGGTTGATTTCAATGGTAATGTTTATCACCTCTACTAATTAACATGAAATAAATTTCCGTGCT